TCCCAGCTACTCGGGAGGCTGAGGCAGCAGGATCGCTTGAGCCCAGGAGTTTGAGGTTGCTGTGAGCTAGGCTGACGCCACGGCACTCGAGCCCAGGCAACAGAGTGAGACTCTGTCTCAAAAAAAAAAGGGGGAAATCAGCAGTCAGCAACCTGGAAGAGGGTCCTCATCAGAATGTGACCATGCTAGTGCCCTGATCTTGGACTTCCAGTCTCCAGAACGAGGACAAATATTTAAATTTCTGTGTATAAGCCACCCAGTCTCTGGTACTTTGTCGTAGCAGTCTGAACTTGCTAAGACACATCCCAAGCCTTGTTCCTGAGTGTGACTTACAAGGCTCCATCACAGCAGCCTCCCGCATGCGGCTTGTCCTCTGTCCCCTGGACTCCTCAGTACTCCCATCTCCCAATTCCCCGCCCTGCCGCACTGCCCGCATGCTGCGCCTTCTCTCCTGTGGCCCCTGCTCGTGCTGTCAGCAGGCAGGTGACACGGCATCCACCTGTTTTCACATCAGGTGTGTGGGTGCCCTTGGGCAGCAGCAGTGCCCTTGGGCCTGGCACAAGGCTTGGTACAGAGCCATTTGTTCATTTGTTGCATCAAAGTGGTGACTGAGGCAACTCTGTCCTTCAGATTCTATCCCTGTGCAGTGAATCGTCAGCACGTCTCTCGGATGGAAAACTCCGCAGGCGCAGGGACAGTCTTCTTGGGCCTCTGGTGCGGGTTGGAAGAATGGGAAACAACTTGCCCTGATCCTCCTGTGTGGGCTGCCTGGCGGGGCTCGCCACAGCAGCAGGGCTCCTCCTAGGAAAAAAGCCCCACTTGTTGGGTAGGCAAAGCAGGTGGGGACACTGCCACCAGGCCAGCGGTGGCTTGTCACTGGCTTATGTTACTCCGAAGCCCATCAGAGAAGTGGAGGGGGACATGATTACTATTGACAAATGTGTTACCTGTATTAAGAAAGCCAGGTTTGGAAATACTAGGAACCAAGCCATTCTTATAGCCAGGTCTCACTGTTTCAAATTAGTACAATCAAGATCAAACCGCCGGGCGCAGTGGCTCACGCCTGTAATCCTAGCACTCTGGGAGGCCGAGGAGGGCGGATTGCTCAAGGTCAGGAGTTCGAAACTAGCCTGAGCAAGAGCGACCCCGTCTCTACTATAAATAGAAAGAAATTAATTGGCCAACTAATATATAGAGAAAAAATTAGCTGGGCATGGTGGCACATGCCTGTAGTCCCAGCTACTCAGGAGGCTGAGGCAGGAGGATTGCTTGAGCCCAGGAGTCTGAGGTTGCTGTGAGCTAGGCTGATGCCACAGTACTTACTCTAGCCTGGGCAACAAAGTGAAACTCTGTCTCAAAAACAAAAAAAAAGATCAAACCAAATTCAATCTGTCTTCGCTTATTGTTCTAAGGTTATTCTGACTGCTTATGACAGTGCTTTCTGGGAGGTTCTGTACATACCATGGGCCTCCCAGGTCAGGGAGTGGGGTGGGGACTGGAATCAATTTGTCAAGAATTATGCAGCATCAGGGCAGAAGTGGCTGGTCCCTTCTCCCCTGCTCTCATGAGCAGCCAGCTCAGCATCACTGGGAAGAGGGAAGAAGGGATGGGGAGGACTCCCTGGCTTTGGACTTGACCCATGGGAGGGCTGGGGTGCATTCTCTGGTGCAAGATGTGCATTCTCACTGACATCAGCCACCTCTTCACTGAGAGGGCACATCAGAATCACCTGGGGAGCTTGAAAAACTGCCAGGCCCAGCCCTGCCCACAGAGGTCCTGATTTAATTGGTCTGGGGAGGGGCCAGGCACCGCGAGTTTTTCCCAAGTTCCTCAAGGGGTTCCAGTGTGCAGCCCAGCTGTCTAATCACGTCACACAGCTCATTAGAAAGAGGGCCCTAGAATTCTCGTCCTCGTCCTCTAGGAGTTAAACGTCTAAGCAGAGACACGCAGGGACACACAGGTTACCTCCGGTGTCTGCATAAAGATCCTGGGTGTCAGTGAGCTCCTTGAACACCGAGCGGTGGCTGAGGCTGTGAGACACTTCAAAGTCAAGTGCAGAACTACCAGGCTCTCCCGCCCCTGGTTGTGTGTGTGTGTGTGTGTTACCCGTGATGGGCACTATACTAGGTATGTATAGTGCACATCTATATTAGATGTGTGCACTACTACACACAGTCTAGAGAAGCAAACCCAGGAGTCCTGACCCAGACCCAAGGAGTGACGCCGTGGGCGGCTGGCGGTCAGAGGTGCTGGCGCTGTGTTGCGGGCAGGTGAACACAGGGCTGGACCTCAGAACAGAGGCTGCTTCTCAAGGGGCCGTCACTACCCAGCTTTGGCCAACCTCACCATGAAGGAATGTGGGCCTGTTTTTACATCTCCCTGTTTTTAAGGGAAGTCTCAAATCTGGACTTTTCTGTTAAATTACTTTTTTTTTTTTGTGGGGCTCAATTTTATTAGAACATAGAGTAGGACCACAGAGCACATCCACAGGCTGGAACGGGATCCGGGCCCCCAGAACTAGAGGGGAGGGCAGGCCAATTTCTTTTGTTCTAAACTAACACTGGGGATTTCCACTCCTTGCCAGGACCCGAAGAGCAATGCCGCGTGGCCCCCGTCCACCCGCCTTGGCCTCACGTGCCTCCTGTTCAGAGGCTGTGGCTGGCCGAGGTCCTGGGGAATGGGGACTCTGCCCTGGCACAAATCAACTGCCATATAACTGAGTCACTTGCTACCTGCTGCCAGTTCTGCTGTAACTTGGTGAGGTGATGAAAGGAGCCGGCTGCTAATGCGGAGGACGGGGCAGGAGAGCAAGGGAAAGAGGATGGCTTTGTCCACACAGCGGGACTGTCAGGTGGGGTGAAGAGTGAGCCAGGGTGCCCAGTGGGGATCGGATCTGCAGGGGAAGGTGCCCGCTCTGCGCTCTATTCGTAGACAATTACAAAGTGATTAGTGGGACTGTCTCAGCACCTGCCCCTGCCGGCAGAGGCTCATGGAGAGGGAGGTGGAACCTCAGAGAATGTGCGGAGCGTGGGAGGGGCTGGGCTGGGCACTGGCACTGGCGGGTCGTGAGGCTCCCAGGTGTCTGCCAGGGGAAGGCCCTGGGTCACGTGTGTGTACGCGCACGGGGAGCACAGTTCCATGGGAAACCTAGAGGTATGTGTGGCCCAGGTACCCAGGCATGCTGAGCTGGAGCATGGGCAGAGTGGCAGCATAGGGGCTCCCTGACTTCAGCAAGCCCCCACATTGAGGGGCTTGAGAGAGCCGGAAGTCCCCTAATCCGGAGGTCTACCCCCACCCCTCTCATTTTTCGGGACTCAGCATTTCCCCAGAGGCCCTGCACAATCACCCCCAGTAATGAGGCCCTTCTGCTCTCACCTCTACCCCGCTTGTGTCCTTCCTCTGACATCATCTCCTTTCTTTGCTCGTGTGTTGTCTGTCTCCTCTTCAGAATGTGAGCTCCGAAAGGGCAGGGCCAGAGCTCCTCGTTCTTGTTCCCAGGACAGTGCTGGGTGCATGGCAACGCCTGAAAAATACCTGAGAAGAGACAGAGGGAATGAAAGGGCAAGAGACGCAGGAGGCCCCAGGGCCAGGTGCTTGGCTCTGGAAGGCCTTCCTGACTTGCCTTGGATTTTTCTTGCAGCTTCCCATGGGCATCCTCATTACAGGGGGACTTCCACCCACGCCTCCACCTTCTCGGTTCTTGGGCCTTTGCCGAGCGCATGGTCTGGTCCAGGGCTGCTCGGGAAGGAGGAGGAGCAACCCGCCTGACGGGCAGACAAGCCACAGGGCAGAGGGGCTGCAGTCCAGCGCTCAGGGAAGGTCCTCGGGCCGGATGCTCAGAGCAGTGCTTAGGAGTGCTCAGAGCAGGCAGAGACTGTGGCGTGGTTAAGGAGGGAGTCCTGGACGAGGGCCAGTCTAAGCCAGATCCTGGAGAGGGTGGAGTGAGAAGGGGGAGGACAGGGTTAGGGCCAGGCAAACTGCAGACTCAAGACAAGACGGATGTATCCACGCTGGAAAGCTGGCGCTGGGACGGGGACCCCACGAGTTGGGGAGGAAGGTGCTGGGTCACTGGCTACCTGGTCCAGCTCCCACACTGTGCAGAAGTGACTTACCCAAGGTCACAGCATGTGGGTGAAGAAGCTGGGCCTCAAACCCAGTCCTGCCAACCCCAAAGCCTGAGGCCATGTCTCTGCAGGAAGCTAGCTGCCTCCTGCAACCAGTGTTGAAAGCTGCCTGAGGCTGAGCCCAGCCCTGAGGTCAGAGCAGGAAAGAACATTAGTCCTGGGTCAGGTGCCACAGGTCTGGTTCTTTTGGTTGTCGTAAGGAAGATTGTCTCCCTTAAAATAGCAGATCTAGAGAGTGCCTCTTTCCCTGGGAAGCCGTCCTTACATACCCTGTCCTTCTCCACCCCCTTCATGAGCGCCTTCTCACTCTATTGTGCTGCACTATAAATGTCGCTGGGGGTTGGCACGGTACACATTGATCGCCAGTTTTGCTGAGTGAACGCGGTGTCAGTCCTGACCCAGTCACTACCCTGAGTCTGACTCCTGAACTACCTGGCCCGAGCCTGGCCTTGCCTCACGCTCGCCCTTCAGCAATTCGCACTGCTCCTCGGTGACAGCATGCATTCGCCAAGGCCACAGCCGGCCCCACCTCCAAGCCCACTAGGAAACTGATGCCCATGGGGTTTGCCCTGTCTGTCCCTGAGCCCCTGTGCAGAGCCACCCCTCAGGCATCACGGCCCTGGCATCGGGAATTTGAGCTGTTTTCCTGCCACTAAGGCCAATTTTACATGGACCCAGGATCCGGGTGCATTCCCTCTCCCCGGGCAGGCCTTTGCAAAATAGCTGGGGTTTGGGTTCAAGCAGGGTCTACAAGGCAGAAGAGATAAGAAGTGTCTGGAGGGGGATTCACGTGCCTGGTTTCTGGTAGACCAGCCAGGTGGGTGGACGCAGCTCCCACACCCCTCCCCAAAGAGCATTTGCTACACAGCTGAAGGACCGAATGGCAAACTTTATTAGAAACGCTCCTCATTCATCAGTCAAATTCACATTAAAGTCGGTGGGAGGCGGGGGAGGCAGTGCCCTCTGGGGCTCTGAATCTCACTGCTGTGACGATTTTCAGTTGCAAATGAGTCTGGCTAGAGAGGGTCCAAAACATACAAGATGCCAAATGGTAGCGGCGGTGGCGGCAGCAGCAGCGGCGGTGGCAGCACTCCCGTGAGAGGACCAGGCTGGGAGTGGGCAGAGAATGCGTCCCACATCCCCCCTTCCAGTCACAAGGCTACCCCCACGGACCCCAAGCTGATAAATACACAGCACATCACACACACACACGGGAAACAGGAAACAAACTCGGGGAAGTCTCCTAAAGTGAAAAAATAATTCACTCAGATAAAGCTTTGCGACAGCCAAGCTGCACCCTGAATGGACGGCTGCCCAGAGACCCTCGACACTCCAGGAAGGGTCTCCAGCCCGGGGACATCACCAGGCTTGGGTGTCACATTGCCCCCAGTTCCCCCATTAGCACCTTTGGACTAAATACTGTCCTCTCCACACTCCTCTTTTAAAATGCAAATGCTACTTAAAATAATAACAAGGATGCCCTGTCCCTGGAGTGAGTCAGAGTCACTCAGACCCATCTTCCCTGCAGAGAGGTGTCTGGGGCGTCCAGAGAACTGAGCATGGGTGGCCGGGAGGGAGGGCACTTGGAGAGGGGCAAGTAAACAATGTTCAAAGAGGTAAGCAGAAGTGTCTGCACATTGCTTTGTCCATGTGCCAATTCTGTGGTTGGGCATCCTGGGAACAGTCTCTTCAAGTGGCACAAAGTCATGGCAATCCTGCTGCCCGGGGCAGGGTGGGGGCCGGGAGGGACGTGGCACCAAGCCGCTCTCGTCATTCATTATTCAGAGGCAATTTCCCCCGGCCCTGTCTGCACCGGGGCACACGGAAGAAAGTCTCCTGCCTGAATGTTTTATTCATTCTCTTGCATGAGGCTCTCTGATCGATACGGTGGCGCTGTGTCCTGGCCGGCCGGCAGGGTTTCCAGGCGCAGGCTCCAGGCTCCAGGTTCTGTGTGGCTCCCAAGGGGGTGTCTGCATCGGCAGGGCTGCTCCGAGGGCAGCAGGGACTGTTGGCGACGGATATTTCGTTTCCAAAGTTGGTACCATGTCCTGGCCTTTCAGAGAACTGAATGTCCCGGGGAACCAGGGTGAGGGGAGCCCTCCTCCCCAATGTGTCACGTGACCATGAATGCCAGGCGGGTGGCGCGGCCCTGCAGGACATGTCCACGCCGCCCTTCGGCGCCCAGGGTCACTGGTACTGCAGGTAGTTTTTGAGAGACTGAGGCAGGGGCAGGGAGCTGATGTCTTGCAGGCGCTGGCGGCCCAGCGCAGAGCGGACCGACCTTCGGCACAGGTCCATCAGCGGCAGGGGCTCGGCTGCAATGACAGGGAAAAGGATGTGCAGTTAGGGTCTGCCCCACACCTGCCTGGCACCTTCTCCCCACCGCCCCCACCGCCCACCGCCCCACCACCCCGCCCCACCGCCCTCTCCGCTGGGCTGACCTCAGGGTCCAGGCAGCTTCCCCTCCGAGAAGCCTTCATTAATTACAGGAGCCGAAGGCCTAGAGCAGTGTTCATTAGACTGAGGATTGCAACCAGTGAGACTAAAGAATCGGGAGTCAAATGAAAGGGTGGTGACCAGCAATTTTTTTTTAAAGACAAGAAAGAGAAAACGGGAGCAACGCCTATAGCAAGGATAAATATTGTTTCATGAAAGCTTTGTCCCTGATGCATGTGTTTATTGTGTCTCAATGTAAAAAGTACTCCTCACTGCGGGTCATCATCAAAAACATTTGAAAGCCGCTGGCCCCAGGCGGATCTGCAGAGGGCGCCCTCTCAGAAACAGGCTAGGTTCTGAGACGGTGTTTGAAGTGCCCTTGAACCCTCAAATTTCCCCTACATCTTTCTGTGATGGCCAGCAGAGGGACACGTTTCCTTCCAACACCCAGTTCTGTAAAAATTCACAAATTGAAATCCACAAGCAATGGAACCTCTGGACATAGGACCAGTAAAGCCGAGTTTAACTAGGTTTGTTGCCAACACCCTCATTAAGCTCTTAATTCTCTTCCAGGACCTCTGATTGGACCTGGGGCCACAGAGATAACTGAGACAGGGCCAGAAGCAGCTCTGGAAGTGGAGAAAGGCTCACGGTCTGGGATTTTTAAATAGGAGAATAATTTTAATAAAGTGTAATATACGTAATAATTCCTAAAGGCACGGGGACAGAAACTGGGCAGTTCCTGTATGGAGGAGCTGTCTAAAAGCTTCAGTCTGGGGGATGGACATGCTTGAAGCTCTGACCTGGGTGGGGCAAAGGCAATATTTGTAACCTAAACATTTGTATCCCCGTAATATGGTGAAATAAAAAAAATAATAAAATAAAATAAAAAAAGAAAGCACATCTGAATGGGGTTTTGAAGGGTGAATAGGAGTGTTAAAGGTACATAAGGGTGGAGTGGGTGTGTTCTAGGCAGAGATAACAAGCAAAGGCACAGAGGTATCAAACAGGGCAGGCTGGGAGGTTTGCAGGGAGAGGAATAGTCTAGGTAGCTGTCATCAGCTGGATCAGGAAGGAAGATGATGGTGGTCCCGTGTTGTCTTGTAGGGTTTGTACAGGCCTGGTTTCCCCAAGCCACCAGGAACATGCAGAAAGCCTGAATCTTAACACTTTTGTGGTAACAGAATACATGATATTTTAAAAGTATTCTATAAAGTGCTAAGATACAATAACACCATACGTGGTAAATACTAACAAAAGAGTTGTGACAAGAATAATAGCTCAAGATATGGGGATGTGGTCAAGTGTGTGTTTTACAGAAATTTTCATTAACCAGAGCTGCAGAGTTAATAAGGAGAGCCGTCAAAATTACAATGGGACTTGGCACATGCTTCAGACGCCAAGCACAAAAGCATACCCAGCTCTCTCCCACTGAGGCCGGACCCTGAGGCTGTCTGCATGAAGTGTTAGTGGCTTCAAACACTTTCGCTTCTGTATCCTTTTTTTAAAAAATTATTTTGTGTATTAATTCCACTGATATGAAATGTCCAGGGTAGGCAGGTATATAGAGATGGTATATTGATCCGCACATAGCCATGCCCCACCTTCCAGACCCAGAAGGCTGACCGCTCAGCACCGCCCCAGCCAGTCCATCACTGTGCCCAGACCAACGCTTGACCCCCTCCCTCAAGGTGTCCTCATCTCTCCTCCAGCAATACCCCATATGCAGCTTTCCTGCTCCCTGTGCCCCACCTTGCATCAGGAGAATGGAGCTGTTAAAGTTTGACAGTCATTGCCAGACCTTAAGAGATTTCCTAATCGTGTTAGTGTTCTAGGCACCGAGTAGGTCCTCAGTGCCCAAATGCATAGCCTTGTCAGCAAACCCAGCTCCCTGTGTGGCCCCCGCCCAGTTAGGGGCTGAAGGGGAGAAGGAAAGAATGCCTTTTATCTTCATCTCTCTGCAATCATTGAAATCAATCTAGAGCCTAAATTCCAAAGGAAGAAACAGGGCTGGGGTTCAGAGAACGCTGATAGCTCTATATGTGACATATAAATAATCTCCCCTAATTTCTGAGGGAAGTTTAAAAAGAGGATCCCAAATGCACAGAGAAAACCCCTGAGCTCCTGTCCTGGCTGTGGAACTTGAAGAGCCCTGAGGATGTCCGTTGTTGGCTGGGCCCACCCCCCTGACTCTTCTTTCTCACCCCCTGGGCTTTGGAACCTTTCTTAGAACGGCCCAATGTTGAGGCTTGGAACTGATCACCAGACACAAAGGAAGACAGAAGCTTCCATCGCAAGAGCTATTCTCAGAACCACTTTTCTACTAAAGATAAAATTGAAAAAGAATCACTGTTCACAAAGGTGAATATCCAAATGGCCAATAAACATGAAAAAGTGCTCAAATTCATGAATCATCAGGGAAGTACAAATTGATACCACAATACTCTACTACAAGACAACGAGAATGACTAAAATAAAGAAGATAGTATCAAGTGCTGACGAGGATATAGAGCCACTGGAACTCTCACGAAGCTGCGAGTGGGAATGTGAACTGACACAACCACTTTGAAACACCGGCCACATCCACTGAAGCTGAATCTCCTGGGTGAACTCCTAACAGGAAGGCATACATATGCTCACCAAAATGTACATACACCAATCCTCAAAGACACATTTCTTGCAATAGCACCAAACTGGAAGCAATAATTCTACTGTCCATTAGCAGTGGACTGTAAAATAAATTGTGTGTCTTCATATAGCAGAACACCAATCATTCATGAGAATGCAGGGACCACAATTACATGCAAAATCATGGATGGATCTCTCAAACATAATTTTGAATGAAGGAAAACTACATTTTGCATGACTCCCTCTATATAGAGTTCAAAGCAGGGGGCTGAAGTTAGGGCAGCGGTGACCTTAGGGGAGTAATGATGGGGAGGGGGACAGGGAGTACCTTGATCCAGCCACAGAACCTTGCAGGGATTCTGTTTTGCTATCAAAAACAAGTAAACAAGTTTTGGAGTAAAAACAATAAAATAAATCACTGACAGTCAGGGGTACTCAGCTCCCTGGTGGGCTTCAACACAAGCCAAGCATCGGCCCACCAGCCCTAATGGGGCAAAGTTGGGGGAAGAGGATTCTTGGGATCTCAGCTCCCATGTATTGGAGCCACATTCATTTTTCTCATCTGTGACATAGGAAGAGCAACACCTCCTTCCATGGGCTGTCGTGATGACGGTTTGGTATGACATGCCTCTTGCCTTAAAGATGCTCTCTCTAAAGTATGTCTTATTTCAGGCCATCAGCCCAAGAGGTACCTTTAAAAATAGTCATAATTTACTTATTGTGGTTCTAAAAATGTCTCAGTGCATCATCCTAATTGACAACAGTGTTCTGCTCTTGATGAAGATTTATTAGAGCCAGGGCTGGATGTCTGGTTCTGTGCTAAAAATATCACAAGGCAATCATTTCAAAAGTTCTCCAATGACCTGAATTTTCCTTAATTCTCCATGACTAACCTCCTGCGTGACCCCAAGTGAGCCACAGAACCTCGCAGGGACTCTGTTTTGCTGTCAATAAAATGGGGAAGTTGGCTCATCTGGTTATGACAGTCTATGTCAGGGATGGAGATGGGTGGAGATCTGGGCACAGGAGTGGTGGCTTAACCTGCTTCCCTGGAACCTCTGAAGTCTTCCCTGTCTGCAGTGGGAGATGCCAGCACATGAGTCACCAGCCTACCCCTATCCCCATTTATATTTTGAGAAAAGGTCAACATTTCAAGGTTAAGAGGTGAAATTCTCCTGTGGTAATTTCAGACGATGGTCAGCAGATGGGAGAGGGTTTGAGTGACAGCCCTGATATCTGAACTTAAGTAGACCTGGGCACTCTGTTTTCAGAAAAAGAAATGAGGAGACAGACATGTGGGAGCACACACACACTCCCTGTGTCAGACACTGTGCTAATCCTCATCCATAGATAATGGTTCTGGCGTCTGAAGACTCAGATGATTGCTTTCATGCCTCTGAGCTCCACCTCATGCTGCTCCTTTTGCCTAGAACATCCTTCCCTGTACTTCCTGCCAGGAACATGCCTCCTCTTTTGGGACTCAAATCAAGTGTCACCTCTTCCCCAATGACTTGGCTCCTCTGACCTCTGGGTCTGCACCTATCAGGTGTCAATCCACTTAGTGAATTATGCAAATGGGCAAGTGTCTCATTACCTGCAGTAATGCTACTTCTAAAATACAGCATCCCTGAACCAACAGCTCTGTTGTGACCAAGGGAGACCTGGGCTCACGCCTAGAAGGCATTTGGAATGTAAAGAGCGTTCTGTTGACAAGCTTCACTGTTTCCCTAGCAAAGGCATTGTGGCTACAGCTGGGACACAAGCAGCATCTTCAGATGAACTCTGTACCAGCCCACGTCATCGGTACAGATGGTCCCCACAGCCCAGGTGGGGCGCCCATTTTCCCTGGGATAGAGAGCTATCAAGTTACTCCACGTGCACAGAGGAGTGTTGCACAGGAAAATACTCCTAAATAATGCACGGCCTTCCCTAGCAACGCTGCAGAGCGAGGACGTGAGAAACCTCCAGAGGGGACAACCCAGAACAGGGAGTGCTTGAAAAATTCCATCTGAACGTTTCCACTGGACTGTGTGGGCTGTTGGAAAGACAGACGCTGCGCGCTCAAAGGGGCAGCCTGGGCCCACACGTGCGAGTGTGCACGCGTGCGTGTGCACAAGGACATAACAGTGCCGGAAAACAAGAGAGGCAGTCAGCGGGCTGGACGTTAGGCTAATTTCAGGAGGGCAGGCAGCAGGTGTGATAGGATGGTGGGCAAATGAAGCAGACAGCCTGGTAGTCCTGTACACCAGGA